TTAAAAGGTGAATAATTACTATAAAATAATTATAAATAAATATTTACTTTGTTAGTTTTATGATTTAGCTTGAACAAAGAGTTTTATATAAAAACTGATTTGAAGACTGAAAAAGAATTTTTCATTACAATGAAATATCTTAATCATAATTTCATCTAAGTATTAAAGAATTAAATAATATATCTTTTTGTGTTATTAACTTGTTAAACATTTTGCAAGCAATAATATAAAGAAATTTATACATTAAATATTATTTTAAGAAACGATTTTTGTTGATAAAAACGCAATATTTAAGTAAAATATAATTTTATGTTAAAAAAAAGGATAGTTACTTTTAATAGATAATAAAAATAAATAGATAATAGATATTAAAATATTTTAAACAGCTCTGAGGTTCAAATTAAATCATAAAATTAACAAAGTAAATATTTATTTACTATTATTATATAGTAACTATTCACATTTTAATGACTAATGGATTTACTATAATTTTTTTTAATATTAAACACTTCAAAAATATTTTACCGCCAACATTAATTCTATGTATAATTATAAATAAAAAATATTATAACTATAGCGTAAAAGTAGCAGAATATTTAAAAAATAATAACATACCAATCTTATTTAATATCAGAATATAATAATTAATGGGAGGTAATATATATTTTATAGCTTATCTATTATTTATAACGTGTATTTAATAGTTTACTTTTATATTTTCTATCATATTTACTATTATATTACTTTTTATACACAACTACTATTACACTATACTATTTTACTATTTTACTACTATTACATTTTATACCATTATGCATTATACTATAAGTCGACGGACGACATTGTGTCACAGTCACTATTTTGATTACATTTATTTATATATTAATTTAAGATTCACTAAATGTACTGTAAAAATGAAATTTTAAAATGAACGTATACATATACATACATAAATAATAAAAAATATATAAATATTATAATATAATATAATAATATATAATAATAACATAAGGTATAACAATAAAAAATAATATATAATAATTCATAATAATATAGTATAATAATACATATAATAATAATATAATGTGTAATAATAACATTTTGTATAATAATATGAAACAATAATTATTAATATATATAGCTATATACTATAATAATATAATATAATAATAATATGATGTATAATAATAATAAATAATAATAATATGTAAAAGTAAATAATAATATTATATATTATATTAGTATGTAATAGTATTTATACTACATATTATTAATTATATTAACTATTTAAGTCAAAGCTTTCCTTATGTGATATCAAAAAAGAAGATATAGAAAATCTTAATAAGTACGTTTCTAATATTTATCTATTGGGTAAGAACAATTTTTGACATAACATATTTTGTGGTATATCTCACACAGAGGAAGATAAAGATAAGAAAGTGTATAGCTAGGGGCAGTATAAGTGGGTTTAAAAATCATGAAAACCCAAATAATAGAGTCCTAGACCATCAATGGTGTATATTGAAAAAAAATAATTTATAATTATGAGTAGTAGAAAATACAAGCAACTCACTAACCAGGTTATCATTATAAGTCTATGAAAAACTTGAATTGGTAGTAAATCTCTGTTACTAAATACTCCCAATTTTAAATAGACTGTAACGCAAATTTAACAATTTCAAATAAATCTGATCTTTATTGAATAATGTCATGCTAACAAATAGTGGAACTAGTTATGACCCAGTAGGTTTTAAATATAAAACGTATTGAAATCTTTTATCAGTCCATAAGACATGTTTTATTAACATTTTTTAACACTATTTTTTAAAAGAGGTTTTTTCGAATAGTAGTGAACTACAACAACAAAAATTCATTTTATATTATTTTAATTAATTGAAATTAATTATTTTTTTAAGTTTATTTCTAACCGCATAAACCCATATTTGGGAGACATACTGGTTTTAGCTATTTTAATAGAAATCTATATGTGTTGTTATATGTGTTATATATATATTACTTAATCTGAGATTACTACTAGGTTATACTCGATTTTAGTTCCTGATATTGTTATTACAAATTTTACTTTCCAAGAATTAAAAAAAAAATATTTTTTTAAGGAAGTCTAAATTTTGCAATTAAAAAAGTGTAATACTTTTAATTATTACAATGTCTAATTGTGTACAATGTGTAATGAGATCAATAAGATCACAAACAATGTAATATGAGTGACCTGTTGATACATGTATTACATACGTACTATAACGCATATTAAGATACACTTATTATGTGATTTAAAAAGGAAACAGAGTGTACATTCACTTAAAACAACGATATAAAATTGAATAATTAAGGTTAATTAAATGATTTAATAATTAATATTAATAATATAAATTTCTAAATAAATGCAGATCTCAGTATCTACATGAATATACATGTATGTAACTGAACTGCACTGTAGTTGTTTTCATTTTATATAATAAATTTTATAAATAAATAAATAGAATAATCATCAATTATTAATGAGATCTAGTTATTAGATTTTTAACAACTTTCAGATATATGTGAATACTTAATTATTTAGTAAACGTCACAAAAACAACAAAATCAATTAAAAAACAACTAAGTTAATAGATAAATCAAGTTCAAAACTATAATTATCCACTTTGAAAAAGTATAACTTGAAGGAAATTTAATTATTTAAATTTATTTAAAAAATAAGTAATTATTTTTTAGCAGTTTTAGCAATGTTTTTAAATTTATTTTAATGTATTCGAATAGTAAGGGAACAGTCACTATATTATATATACGTATATATATATATATTCAAGTATATATTAATAAGTTAAATATATAATACGGTAATAACTGCTGATACCATATAAAGCACATAGATAGTGTTCTATTCCTAAGTACTACAATTTCAAACGCACTCTTCGGGGACTTTTCGGTTTATAAAACGAAAAAATTGCAAGAGGAGATCTATTTTCAATATTATATAGAGATACAGTTTATTTAATAAAACTTTGTCAAAAATGTTTTATACAAATGGATTTATTTGTACATCAACTTTCGGTTTAACAATATTTAATTTAATGGTTAATTTATATATAGGTATAATTGACTTCGGAAATTATGGTAGCTCAAAAATAATATTTTCAAGATTTTTCAAATGTTGATATATTTTTTTTCAAACACTAAGCTTTATTATTATAAAACTTTTAATTATTCACATGTCATATTTCAATACCTTATTCTCCTGAGAGCATTTTTTGTGATATTTAAAATATATATATTAAAATTTATCATATTTTAAGCAATATATTTTAGTATTTTATTTCATTTCAAATATTTTTTTTTAATAATTTATTAAAAAATTTTGTAAATAATTTAAATAGAAATAATAACTTTTAATTATTAGAATGATTATAAAAAAAAATTAAAAGCTGAAGAATTTATATATTAACTATACTATACTTTTTGAAACAATAAAATTTTCCTTTTTTATTTGTAATTTTTTTTTATAAAGAGGTTTTTCCGAAAAATAGTGAACAACAAAAAATCTTTTTTATATTATCTTAATTAATTCAATTTTAATTTTTATAATTTTTTAATTCTTTTATTTATAAGAATTAATAATTATTTATATAATATAATAATTATTCATTAATAATAAAATTAATAATATTTATTATTATCAAATTCTTATAATTTTTTTTTTATTTATATTATTTTTAACAAATTATGCAAAATCGAAACTTTGGCACCTCTGCTTACAAGACTTTTTATTATAATTTAATTTTCTCTAATTTAATTATAATTTCTCTTTTTTATAGTAGTAGTATTTTTTTTTCTTAATAATATTTTACATAAAAATTTATAACAATTATATTATATATATATAAAGCTAACAGATATGGTATTGCCGCCGTCTCTTTTTTATATAATTCTTATAGTTTTAAATTATTTATATTATTTTTATCAAGTTTGTTATATTATTAGTTCGTTTTAAGCTAATCTAATATTTTTATTAGAATATAAATTGAAGTTAAATTTTATTTTATTGTTTTAACTCAACATATTGTAGGTTTATGCCATCGTCGGAGATATCTATTTAATTAACTTAATAAATATTATTCTAATTAGGAAAAAAGAATTTTTACATTTTCATAGAACTTTAAAAAAATATTTAATGAACAAGTTTTTATGTATATTATAATATAATGAAAGAAGTTTTATAATATATATATCACTTACTAATAGTAATATTTATAATTATTTTTTTTATTATTTTATTTATTGTTTTGAGTCAAGTTGTTGTTCAGCCCACTCTAAACAAAAAGTTAAAAAACTACAAAATATTGGCAATTTTATATAGAAAAAACTATATACATATATACACTTATATAAATTGATTAAAAAACTTTTTTATTAAAACATTCGCATAAGCCTTTTTATGAACGAATTTTTTTTATTTTTTTTTTTAATTTTTATTTTTTTTTTCGGTAACTGTTATTCACATCTGTTAAATTTTTTTAAGTCGACTTAAATTCGAACACAAAAAAAATTTAAAAAAATTGTTAGATACACTTTAACACCTTTTAATTGATTAAACATACTTAACACATTTTGAATATTAAATATTTAAATATTATTTTAAAAATAAAGTTCTTTATTTTTGCAAAATGTTAATTGTATATTTTCTAGTCAAAATACGATGAGAATGAGAAGAAAAAAATAATTTCGAGATTTAAGGTACATGTTTGCCTTCATAAGTTTATTTGAGACATTAACAAAAGACAAATACTACACTTTTTTGCCAACTCGGGTAAAATAAAATAAATTAAATAAAACTCGACTTCTACAATAATAAAAGTGAATATAAATCTACAAACTGAACTTCACAAACAAATAGTCTCGAGAATGCAATAATAAAATTTCAAAAATTTCTCACAGACCATTAACGTAATGAGACCGAAACCGAGACCGAAATCCGAACTTACCAAGTAGAAAAGTGAATATTCTGCATAGAGTCGAGGCAGCGGGAAGTGTCATACTGGTTGTTTAAGACACCGCAATAAAACAACGGCAAAATCCTTCAAAAAGTTATATAACCACGAGTTCAGTTGGACCTAAGCCAAGCAAAGACAAAGCGTTGCGAATATGCAACCATGAACTTGGCTACTGTCAGGGCACCGTAAATAAATTTCAACTCACACAAAATAATAAATTTTCAAAATTAAAATTTACAAGATATTTTCCGCATGAAATTCAATTTAAACCAGTCAACCAACCAACAGTTTTTAGAAAATTTTTAATAAATTTTTTAAAAATTTTTTTAAAATTTTTTTTTATAAATTGAAAATTTGGCGCGTAAACAGAAAACTTGTAATTTAAAAATTTTTTAAAAAATATTATATATTAATTAAATAATTTTTTTTATTTTAATTTTTTTTTTAATAATATTATTAAAAACCTTTTTTTATTTCTATTAATTTTATATAATTATTTTATTTATTTTTAATTATTTCCATAAATTTATTAAAACTATTTTTATAATATATTTTTAAATATTTAAAGTTTAATATAAACACAAGTAAGTTTTTAAATTTAATTTTTAATATTTTTTTTTTTTAAAAAAGATTTTTTTTTCAATAATAACGCATCGCTTCGCGTCCGATTCTAAGTGAGCTGTAAGTTATACTGATTATGGGCAAAAGGTAGTTTCTTCCACTACCAGCTCAGTAAGAGACAAAGCTGCGATTTATTAGCTTGGCTCGAAAGCAAAAGCAACAGAATCGTTTAATTATTAAATAAATAAACAAAATGTTGATTCTCTTGAGCGTCTTCAATTCGCACAGTAACAAAATTTTAACTTTAACGCAAAGCAAATAGCAAAATTTTAACTTCGGTCTTAATGACAATCAGATTAATCGATTAATTAATCAAGTCTACTTTGATTATTAATTATAAAATGTAAATTTTTTTATATATATTTAATTTTATATAAAAAATAATTATATAGCTAAATATATAATCAATCTGAATTATGTTAATTTATGAAACAACGGATATATACGTATATAGCAACAGATACATACAGATATATAACAGATACAGACATATAAAAACCTAACCATTTTGAACAGTTCTACTACTGTCATAGAAAGTTATTAAGTATATGGTGCATGATGTTACAAATAGGAGAGATGTTAATAAAAATTGAATTCATCACTGATGGCTCTTATTTGCTGTACTCAATATACGCATTTTTTTTTACCATAAACTCCTCTGTAAGATACTTTTATTCCATTAAAGAAGCTCATAAAAAAATTTCAATATCCAAATAAAAGGTGTTGAAGTCAAAACCCGTCCTGTTTGTAAAGGAGAAACATATTTCTAAATATATAATTATAAAAGCAACAATAATAATATTAATAATTATAACAAAAATTACAATAGCAATATTTATAATGACAATAGCAATAATTTTGCTGGAGAAGGAGGAGACACTTATATGCAATAATTCTCCTCACTATGTTCTGGTTAATTATTTAAGGGAAATGCTATATTCTTTTATTAAAAATTTCTTTTTTTTTGTTTTACTTTGAATTAAAAACTGGCAAATTATAAGCTGAAATCTGAAAGACTTACCAACATCGCGTAATCAAATCTCAGAAATGTTACAGGCTCCTCGGGGAGTTATGCAGATCTGAGGTCAATTATTGCTTAGTCTGATGAAGTGATAAACAATAATCTAGTCAAGGTGTAGAGAGCGGTTTTGAAGATACCTCGAGTTAAAAAAGAGTATAAGTGCTTAAGTGTACTAGCTCTAAACAGCTTCAACATTAATATATATTATATGTACCTATAATATGTATATAATATATACTTACATTTTATTCAAATCAAAAACTCAACATAAGCTGTATGAAAATGATTTGCTAAAGTGAGTTAAGTGCAATATTTTTTCTTTTCTAACATGCCTCCTTAAGTAATGCCCCCTTAACCAATAACTTCCACTTTTCTCTGTGTGATGTGATATTTCTGTAATTACGTATCTCAGCTTATATCATAGGCGCCTTCTAAGTAATAAATTAGTTTTTCTCAGCCTTTCTATAGTACACCGATCAATTGACTTCCTCGTAAGTGCTAGTTCTGTCACATTATACCACTCTATCATACAAACGATTCAAAGAGTGATAGTGAGTATTCTATGTTTGGTGAGTCACATCGTTTAGTACTACTGTGCCATATATTATCGGAAAATCCCTCCTAAAATATAATAATACAATAAACTAATATTATATATATTAAAACCTGGTATATTAAAACCAATAAGGGTTTAAGTAACGATCAAATTTCTTAGTTTAAATTAAACTGAACTTACGAGTGGGGTATATTCTTACCTACTAACTATGAGATGAGATTGGATTGGATGCAAGAATCCTAATAGCAGCAGATTTTATAAGAAACCTAAAATAATATCATACCATTATTTACTAATACTAAGCATAACAGGTATAATAAAAACAAGTAAATAAAATAAGTATAATATTTTCATTAGGCTTTCATTAAGCTTGAAGGGTACTAGATTAAAATATATTGTGATACTTACGACTTTAATAATCCAAATTAAATTTAATGACTTGATCCAAAGATAGCGCAACAGATCTTATAAACTTTATCTGGCACATTCAAAATTTATGAAATATAGAGTGAAAAGTTATGTATTACCTCTCTATTTCTTTCTAAAATAAAATCATTTATATAAATATATTTAAGTATAAATAAAAAATTTTTTAGTGGAACATAAACATACTTTTTTTTTTCAAATAGGATATTAATTTTAATTGCAAATTTTAGTGCAAACCACACGGTTGCTTCTTTTCTGTAATATCTACTTGATATTCTCAACGGATTCTTTTGACACATTACCTGGGTATCGTCTCCTAACGAAGCGTAGCACCGCGACCATAGTTGATCTTTTGATCAACCCGCCTTATAAAGTGATAAATATTAAAGTAAGACTCTTTAACAATAATTAACTTAGTGACACTCTGAAAATCTGTAATTATAATATTTGCTTGCGATATCACAATGGTTCTACTTTTTAGGCTATGAAAGAGTCTCAATTCATTTAGCACAGAATGTAATCAATATCTGAAAAACTATCATTCTATGTAAATAAATATTTTTGAAGGGTAAATATTTTATATATACAATAGTGGTAAATATTTTTTAAACAATTCAAATTTATACGATTCAATTTTATCTTAAGTATATTAATATTAATGTAACAAAAAATTGGTTTTGATTAACTTTACAGTATATATTAATTTCTGACTCTACCAAAACATAATGAAACTACTTTCTTCTTCTATATAAAATTGAATAAAATATAGTTAAGTACTTGGAAAAAGATATTAACTTACTTCTCTTACTTAATAATATAATCATTTTAAAAGATCAGTGTTGCATCAGTAACTTAATGACCCATTTTGAAATGTAGCTCAGCAAGTTCAAACAAAAACCAATTTTGACCGAAAATATATTAACAAAACAACAACAACAACTGTGAATAATAGAGCAAAACAAAATAAAAGACTCAAGTCACAAACTTAAATTTGCTGATCAACAGAGTTCACTTATATGTGAACGCATGTGACGTCACATGCTTTAGCACTCCGGAAGCATATTAAAGTTGACAATTTTATGTGTAAACAATACTTAAATGTGTAACTTTTGACATGTAAACAATAAAGTTGGGGCTATTTTGCTATTTTATAAAAATTTTATTAAAATTAATTTTGTAGTTTTGCTATGTGATTTGCATAAAGTTTTTTTATGATATTTGGATGTCATTTGATTGTTATATCTTGCGAAAATAAATGAATTTATTTCTTTGAATATGAATTGTTATTAAAATGGATTTTCTTAAATAATTATCGATATTATTTAAATATCCAAAATTTAAAATATTTTTAAATACTAGCATTCTTTTGGTCCACCTAAAATTGTAAAATTTTATAATAATTTTTTTTAACTTTTTTTTAAAAATAACCTCATGCAGCCCCATGAGCATATGGTCCAATGTGTAACTATATATCTATCGTCTTAAACCCTAAATAAGTTAATTGTGAACACAAAGTTTTTACTGATATCGTTAGAGTCTGTGGCGGTTGTATATTCACATGATCTAGGTTGGCCATGCAAATTCGGACAAATAAATTATTGAAACTAATATTTTGATTTAGTAAAAAAACAAAAGTTGTCATTGGTACACGTATAATTATTGTACTCGAAATTGAATTATTTATAATAAATAAACATTAAGAATTAAGTAGGGCAAAGCCTACAAGTCTTCTTTACTTGACTTTGTTATTATTTTGAATATGTAAGTTATGTTATTACCTTTAATAGGTGAAAGATAAAGCTTAAACTAGAAACCCGATGTATTCAAAAATATAGCTTAAGAAGAATAAATAGGAAAGAAAACTATAGTACTATATAACCCACCAGTAACCATAGATATCACCTTAAAATACAGCTTATCAATTTTTTCTCTTATCCAATAATACTAAAGTTTCATCAAAATTAACAGAATAGTTTCCGCTTGGATCCGTAAGAATTAAATTAAAATGATATTAATGCTACACACATAAGGTTTCTTTGACATTGAAGATATCTTTATCGACAGGAATAAAAAAATTTAAATTTTTATTTACTTTTATGAAATCATAAAGAATTCGGTCAATAATATTACATAAAAATATCATCAATATCGAATAGATGATTTCTGTATGATATTAATGTTATATATTATATATCTGCGACGGGAATAAATGTCTTCAATGATGGGAATAAAAATTTTTTAATTTTCAATCCTCCATTTTTATTTTCCTATTTTCCATAAAGATTTCGACCGGAAGATTATGACTACATGGATCCGTAACCAATAAATAAACACAAGATTTATATTAATTTTTTTTTTGTTAATAAATCTAGTTTTGATGTATAAATTATATATATCTTATATATATCATTTATTTATTTTTTTTTTTTGTGATAATGAATCCTCTCTGAATCTAATCGAATGAATTTGATAAGGTTTTTTTGGAATGTTAGTATTAATATACAAAAGAAAAAACTGACAGGTATCTAGTATATACATATATATATTAGAGACATATATATATATAAAATAAAAAAAATAAAAAAAAATATATATATGCATATATATATTGAAGATA